TCCCACAAAGATCTGTCAGTTTCCCCTATTAGTATTCCGACACACTCTATCTTTAGCCTCCCTCCCCTAATTTTCAATTAGTTCTTTAAATAAGACCGCCAATTTACTGTTATGGGTGGATATTTACGCCAGCTGATTTTTATAAACATACAGTATATAGACTAAAAATAAAAGGAAAACAAATGGTTGTACGATGCATCTTCGTTGTTGGTAGTCGCCTGTGTGGCTGCCTGGTGCTTGTTGTTATCTGTAGCTGTTTGTTAATCTCTGTATATGTTTACTGTGTGTTATTTGATCTATGAGATGATCTGGGCTCGTGGCTACGGTGTTTGTTATAGTTCTCAATCAAAAAGTCAACCTCACTATTGGCCAGGAATGAAGACAAGTGGTAGACATAGCGTCCGTGTCTGTAGTAACTGGTACAAGTGATGAAGTAGAGTTTTAAGTAGGTGAGGGTCCTGTTCTCCCCTAAGGTGGTGTCCATCATGAGAGGGCCCGTGTCATTACCCCATTACGCCCCTTAACAGCGAGATCAGGCCAAAGTTTAAGATCAATATCTATTCGGGGAACGAACTAATACGCCGGCATGCATACTGTAGAGTGCACTACTAAGGCTTCCTCTACAGTGCTTGTTGATCTCCCACCACCGAAAAACAGATGTTTACCTCTACGCCATGTTGTTTTTTCCACACTCGTCAGGTGGCCTTCAACTTGTAAATATTCGATATTCTTACCATTAAAACCATTAGCTTGGGGTATTTTTTTTTCTGAAGTATTGATGAATTAGTGAATTACTAATCCATTGTATTTCTACAGAAAAAAAAGAACAAAAGGAACATAGTGTTTGACAAACATGCCGGCGTATTTTTTTTTCTGAAGTATTGATGAATTAGTGAATTACTAATCCATTGTATTTCTACAGAAAAAAAAGAACAAAAGGAACATAGTGTTTGACAAACATGCCGGCGTGTACAACAGTACTGTGAACGCATTCGGTAACACGCACACGGGAGTGTTTATGGCCTTTGCTTTCAAGGAATCAAAAATTGGATACGGGCTGCTGACCCTGTGGTGAAGGCAGCCTTATCCGGCGTTGTTACTGCCACAATTACCTCCGGGATATTGCAAGGGATATTGCAACTATCATTAACGATACAAACGTGATAACTTGTACGATAGTTACGATATTTATGTTCTCTTTAATCAAATAATTATTAATTACCTTCAGTGTGTTGAATATTTGTCCTACAAACCAGAAAATAATAATGATTACGACGATAGAAACATATAAATCAATTATCTTATCTATGTAATCTGTTACTACAAAAATAAAAACAACGGGGACTCAACTATGGCAAGTTTTTCTCATGCTGAACCTCGATGGCCAACGACGTAGGGGTAAGATCTCCTGCGTCGTAGTTACTAAAAGATCTCCAGTGTCGTGGTTACTCCCTCAACCAGTTAGTCCCTCAGCTGTTTGGGTCGTCGTCGGCAGCTCCATTCTTTGGTCTCGGGTTATAAGGCATCTGAGTAGTAGGTAATGCCACAGTGTTTACTCATCATCTCTGACGCAGTAGAGAGTCGCGTCATTACTGTACTAAGTAACCTAAGACCACACCAGCAGGGACATCCAAGACACAAGCCCTGAAAGATGACTTCGACTCGCCTCTACGTTCTTCTATATGAGGTGTTAAGAGGCTTTATATCAATGTAAATAGATAACCTGGATCACCTGAGGATTAACCACCCTATCCTACCCAATCCTAACCTAACCTGACTCTAACCTGCGTTGCCCTACCCTACTCTAAACTGACGCTTACCTACCCATATCTAACAGAACGCTACCATAACCTAACACTACCCTACCCTACCCTACCTTACCCTAACCTAACTTAACGATAATGTACCTTACCGTAATCTAACATACATAACATAATCCAACCTGACCTAATCCCACCAGGTAGCGTTAGGGTGGTTAATCTTCAAGTGAAATCAATTGGGGTGTGTAATCTTCAGGTAATCCGATATCTTGCGTCTCATACACCAAACTAAAGTGACCTAAAGTAATATACTCGACACACACACACACACACACACACACACACACACACACACACTTTGAGCCACCTATAGAACGCATGAGACAAGGAGATATGTGGGCCATGCGTTAAGACTAGAGACATGCGTGAGATCAGAACCTGCGTGAGATGAGGACATGCGCGAGATGAGGACATACATGGTACTCAGGATGTTCTTGATGACGTTGTACTGTACATCATACTAGGCAAGGGGGGTTTAGGACATACCGGAGATTAAGACATATGGGATATAAGGACACGCGGGAGATCAGGACATGCGGGGGGCTAGGGCATACGGGACGTTAGGACATTTACACAATCTAATAAGGTTATCAAGAGAGGCTCTAGGGAGACTGTGGGTTTAACGAGAGACTCTAGGGAGACTGTGGGTTTAACGAGAGACTCTAGGGGATATGTTCATTCAGGAAGGGATTCGAAGCATAGTGAAAACATTGAACATTTCTTATACTTAACGAATAATTTCAAGAGTTTAATCTACTCAAGGGAGAAATTATTTAGATTTTCAGATCAACGAGGAGTTTTATCAACGAGGATCATCGGGATAATGACACTAGTCAACGAGCATTATACGTCTATTACCGTAAGCTTAACGAGGGATTTTAACGAGTTTTATTATCAAGGCATTATACTTTTTTCATCAATATTATCAAGGCATTATACTTTTCCATCTATATTATCAAGGCATTATACTTTTACTATACTTTTACATCTATATTATCAAGGCATTATACTTTTCCATCTATATTATCAAGGCATTATACTTTTTCTATCTATCTATATTATCAAGGTATTATACTTTTACTATACTTTTCCATCTATATTATCAAGGCATTATACTTTTACATCTATATTATCAAGGCATTATACTTTTTCCATCTATATAATAAAAGCTGTAGTATGATCATTAATTTACAATAATCTACAAAATACTCTAATCATACTCGCTTCCTCTTCATGTCACTCCTGCTGATAAGAAACACGCCACAGTTTGTTAAGAAAAATAATACCCATAAAATAAGTAAATGTTGGATTCTCGAAGGTTCGTCACCGATTAAGTTTTCCTCCTGATTTGTAATATGAGAATGCCTCTAATTAACTGGTTTCTTCTTAGCTATAGGAAACAAAAGTAACCTCTTAAAAGTAACCTTGAACTATACTGGGTCATGACCTCAAATAGCTGCCGTTTCTTGTCAAATGAAAGGAAGGAAAGTACTACGTTAAGAGGATGGAATATTCTATTTTGGTCTTAATAGAATTCATATCTGCCTGATGGTATTATTGACTATTTCAACTCCACCAAAATTTGATAGTGGTTGATCAAATTGTTTACATGATTCAGCTGTTTTGGGACCGGTCTAGGTGTAAAAATAAAAGGTACAATCATGGTCACCTGGCCTCGGATCCCACGTGCAATTAATACAGGTAAAGAAGGTTAAGAGAGGGAAGATAGATGATTAGAAGGAAGAGATGGGAAATGGAAGAGGAGGAGAGATAGTGGGGAAGGGAGAGAGAGAGAGAGGAGGAGGAAAGGAAAGAAGAGGAGGATAAAGAAGGAGGAGGAAAGGAGGCAAAGGAAGAGAGAGACGAAAAGGTAAAAATTATTGATGGGAGAGAAAAAGGAGAGAGAGAGAGAGAGAGAGAGAGAGAGAGAGAGAGAGAGAGAGAGGATAGGTATATACAAAAAGCGGGAGATAGAAATGAAAAATAACAGGAATGACGTAAGTGATAAGATAAGCCTCTATTCTCTCCTCCACACCTCTCTCCGCTCTCAAAAAGCGGGAGATAGAAATGAAAAATAACAGGAATGACGTAAGTGATAAGATAAGCCTCTATTCTCTCCTCCACACCTCTCTCCGCTCTCACTCCACTCCCCATGCCTTTTGAGTCGCTACTGTAACCTAACCTAACCTATCGTAACCTAACCTAGTGCTACTGTAGTCTAACCTAAACTAACCCTCCTAACCTAACGTTACTGTAACCTAACCTAACCTAATGCTACTGTAATCTAACCTATCCTATCCTAACCTAGTGCTACTGTAATCTAACCTATCCTATCCTAACCTAGTGCTACTGTAATCTAACCTAAACTAACCCTCCTAACCTAACGCTACTGTAACCTATCCTAACCTAACCTAACCTAATGCTACTGTGATCTAACCTAATCTAATGCTACTGTAACCTAACCTAACCTAACCTAACCTAACCTAACCTAACCTAACCTATTATAACTTAATCTACTCTATCCTACCCTAACCCAAGTAACGTAAGGGTGTCTAATCTTCAGGTGAAATAAGCTAGGGTGTCTAATCTTCAGGTGAGATAAGCTTGAGTGTCTAATCTTCAGGTGAAATAAGCTAGGGGTGTCTGATCTTCAGGTGAGATAAGCTTGAGTGTCTAATCTTCCAGTGAAATAAGCTAGGGTGTCTGATCTTCAGGTGAAATAAGCTTGAGTGTCTTATCTTCCAGTGAAATAAGCTAGGGTGTCTGATCTTCAGGTGAAATAAGCTTGAGCGTCTAATCTTCATGTGATTCCCATTATCTGTTACCATGGTTAAGTTTGCTTGTAATATCTGGACAAATTTCGCCAAAACCGACATCTCATTGTAGAGGGTTGACAAAACGTTGCAAGACATAGGCATCTACAATGTCAATGAATGAGTTACACCCGACTTACACATCCTATGAGTATCTCACCTTACCACTGTGTTTATTTATGAATGGGAAGGACAATTATGCGTAGGGTGGGAGATAATGAATTTCTTAACCAATCCACTTTCTAGGATTCAAATGTTTCTTGTTTTTCTTCGTTTACAGTGTTCACTATAACGTACAGCACAATAACAAGAAAGAAAAAAACTATAGGAGATGTAGTAATGGCAACAATTAACAAGATACGAGTTACCGTCAACAAGATAGAGGGAGGGAACAAAATACTAGGGTTGCCAGCTAGCGTTCCCCAGTCTTTGCCCGAACTCCGTGGTTGACGCGTCTCTCTCACTCTCTGCCTCACTCTACTCAACCAGCAACACGCTCAGGTACTGCAGCCTCGTTATCTTCACCAGAGTCTTGGTGTGTGTATGTAGTGCTGATGATATCCTTGTGATATGTATGTCACTGAAGAAGGACTGAAACACGGTATATGTTTTACGTTATAATATTTATTTAGCTTTGAATTTTACTACAACAGTTGGGATACAGTGCGTCTGTAACCTAGATGAATAGGCCTATTTAACGAAAACTTAATACAGTATGTTGTTAGAGGAGTTCATCTTGACTATGTGACGCACAAGAATAATCTTTAGCTTATCAATACGACTTAGTTTTCCTGCAGTAGGACATTGCCTCCCTCGTTACATATGTTGGTGTGTTGGTAATTAAGACATCTACAGGGTCATTCCTTTACAACAACGAAAAAAGCGGATTCGATAAATATCAAATAACAAGGCTAGAAATTTTTATTAAACCTTTAACAGAAATCAAATGTTCAGTTTTAATATATCAAATCTATATGACGAATAGATTCTGATAATTGATATTTTATGAAGAAATTGTTCCGTGTTTAAAAGTCTTAAATAGAAATACTAAAAGAACGACTTTTGCCTCTACTGCTGTCACCAAACTAATAAAAGTTGTAATATGGAAAGTAAGACGTGAAACTCGTATAGTTGAGGCCAGTAACTCAAGTGTGGGCGAGTTACTATTATCTATTACGTAACGATAATACTCTGGAATGTATTCTGGCAGCAGGGGCTATAACATTTATGTAAACAGTACTGTGGTTTTCCTCATTTATTATAGTTAAATGTTCTTGAAGTGATTATTTATCGTCATCTATTACTTACAATGAACCTGAATAATAATTACTTCAACAACTATTTACTTTGAATATTAAACCAATAAAACGCATTAAACATAATCATAAAAATTAACCACTACTACTAGACCGTAATTCAAAGTGTTTTCAAATATATTATCAAATTATTTTGTTGTAAATCATAATAACTCGTCCAGACGTTACGAGGTGATGTCAAGGGTTGCGTATAGCGTTGCGTTCTGGAGCTGACATTTGCAGCCTAGCAACTCGTCAGCCTTCATAGGTATGTGTTGCAACTTGTCACCACAGTCACAGTAAATGGGGCAGAATATTGTTTTACGATTATTCTTGTTTGCTGAGGAAGAAGTTGTCTTAGACGATAGCCAATGACCTTCCTCAAATGGGCAGACATGTTAATGAGTAGTTATTTTGTGAATTGAGGAAAATTATCAGAATTTCATATGTGATTTAATTTTTTGTTAGTCGGCGGGAAATAATAGTTCATGATGATACACGATGCAGGGTTAGGTTAGGTTAAAGTTTAATTATATTTTAGAAATAAAAGAAGGAGCTTAGAGAAACACGCCCTCAGAAAAAAAAATATACCTATTCCTAAATGTAAAGGTGATGTTAAAATGAATTCTAAGTCACTTTTCTCTAATAAATTCAGTTCGATTTGCAGTGAAGATATTACACACATTGGAACTCACACAGAAAAGACGCAAATGTACACAAAAGTCATGAAAATCACCTTTTATCGTCGCCAGGTTATTTTTACCGGTGACATCATCGTAACGTCATCCTTTACAATAACTTTATTACATATATATGAAGCTAAATGTCAGTGTTACACCTCAAACATGTTGGACAGAGCAAAAAAAAAAACTCTCCGACTGTATAATGGTTCAAGAATGTATATACTCCAGTGAATATTGCAAAACATTGTCCTAATTTTAACTAATTATTGTGTTGTGTAAATACTGACATAGTTACTTAGCTTAAATGCCCTGGCTGTTGAAGCAGCTCAAACACTAACGAGAAAGGAAAGTTTTCTCTAAATACAGTTACAGTACTGTCTAATGAACAAACTAGGAACCCCTCTTGATTAAAGGATCATTGTAGCAACAAAATATTGCTTAATGAAACAGTATAAAAAAAAGGAAACATTATAATTTATCTTTCATTCGTTTTAAATGTCAGTGTCAAACGTAAAAACTGACTTCTGGAACAGTGGTAGCTGCAGCGTTTAAAGCAACAACACAGCTCTGTACAGAAAATTTAAACTCTCTACCTGATTTATTTCTTTTATCCTCAGGAGTATGTTAAACGTGTTGTGTTTTAAGTGGGTTGATACTGTGATCATTTTAGATGCGGTAAAGCACCAGTGACGCTTACCTCCTGAGTGCCTCTGGGGATGGATTGTGGTAATTACAACCCTGGCGACGGAACAGCTAAGGTCATATGCCGTCAATGCCTCTGGGGACCACAAATAATACCTCCTTCACTTTTCTTACGTAGATAATTACCGAACAGAAAATAACGAAAACTTCTAAATGACCTAAACAAAAGCACACACACAAAAAACATCCAGATTTATATAAACGAAACAGTTTTTGCTAAATTTATAAGAAATGTGACATGAAATCTTAAATAACACATCACAGAAAATAGCGTTAAGGACTATGCATTATATTCAATGTAATACTAACCACGTAATGTTCAACTCTTCAGAAGGTAGAATAGCGAGGTAATGCTGATTGAATATAAACAATGATATCGACCATGGCTATCCTATAAGGTGTTTGTTTACGTGTAGAAGTCGTCCCAGCAACACCTCTCTTATTGTACAGTGAGTGTTAGGAGGAGGCGATGTAACGGAGGTCCAGTACTCACAGATAAAACAGTCAAGGTGACATAACACCTAGATAACTAACTTCGTGGGCGACACAGCTCTTCATTTTTTCTGTAAACATTATTCTATTTTTATGTTCTCACGTTCTGTAATTATTGTTCCCTCGTGTAATATTCATAAGGCTCAATTGTTGTCCTTCCCTCTTACACTTTCTTACGCCCACACCTGCAATCATCACGCCCACACCTGCAAACATCACACCCACACCTGCAAACATCACACCCACACCTGCAAACATCACACACTCACCACGCCCATATTCCATAGGGTTAAAAATAAAGGTATACTCCTCTACCCCAGAACCTGTACCCCAACACAGCTCCGCCACTTTGCCTAAGATAACTAAGAAAATTACTCGAGTCTTGGGTCATATATTCCCCGGCACCATTACTGACAACATACATCTCACTTTCAGTCTTCATAATTGGACTAAGATGCGTCCCTTGTACCATCAGGAGGCGCACGTATGATGTGGTACGCTTAAGTCCTCTAAAAAAAGCTTGACTTGAAAAGAAACTTGAAATCATCTGAAGATTAGTCTCCCCAGCTTATTTCACCTAAAAGATTGACCACACTAACCTAACCTAACCTGACCACACTAACCTAACCTAACCTGACCACACTAACCTAACCCCACCAGGTAGCATTAGAGTGCTTAATCCTCAGGTAAATTAGCTAATCCGAAACTTAGACACTAAACAGCATTTTATTGACATGAGAATTCTGTGTTTTTGTGGTTTTCAATAATTATGTTGATTTTTCGAGTTCCCTGGTGGCTACACGGGAAAAAGGAAGCGAAGCATTAAAGGTCACAAATTGTTCGTGTGATTGGGTCAAAACAGTCCACGAAATGATCTGAGAAGTTCTATTGATAAAATGATCGTTCTTTAATCTAGGTCAGCGGGATCGAAACTGTCCTTGGAATAATTGGAACGAGGCGATTGCTACAGGACAATGCGACCGGGAGTGTAAGTAGGACGAAGGTTCGATTGGTTCATCAGTGGCACGAATTACCCCTTCCTCATTCATTACATCATCCTGGTGTACCCCTGGGAGAGTCTCTGATCAAGGTCGACTAAATAACCTTCCTTCGATTCCTCTCATTGTGAAGCCAAGGCGAGGAATACACTGATTATAATAAGCTAGTCAAGAAGCATCACGTGGTGGGTCCCTCACAGAGAATAACATTGTCCTGGTGCACATAGAGAGTAAATAAATGCCATAAGGATTGGACACTCAGTTGACTATCACTCTCACACGGGACACTGAAGGCTTATTACTCGACTCAGTTTACTAACTTACTGAATGGTGAACACGGCGAACAAGTGAGAGACAAGAAATGTTTATACTAAAGAAGGAGATTTTAACACGGAACAAATAATAATGGGCACTGAACACTTACATTAAGGATGGAGCTTTTGATGTTTACAGGCCACTCGTGCTCTCATGTTTCTCGTTGTTACGCAATTTAATTATTTTCCCTTTTTATCAGTCATTGGTAATTTCTTAAAAAAAAATTACCTGATCTTATAATATGATAATGATTTGTTTCCTTGTTAGGTTACTAAATGAATCACTTCAATTAATCGTTGAAAGCCAAGTGTTGTGGTGTGCGCAAGACGTATACAGCATTCTGGTGCATGGTCTGTTTACGACCTCCGTGAAGGTTGGCTGCTGTATAACCATAAACACATGGGTCCTGGGTATCAGTGGAAGACGACTTGATAGTTCACACTGAATCTCAAACATCATCCCGATTTTTAATGTACTCTACGCATCGTCAGTAACACCTAGGTTAATATTTTCTGCTTTTACCTGTGATTTATATTTTTTTTTCGCCCTGTTTCAAGTCTGGCATCTATAAAACATCCGCGTGGTAGTTATTCCCTTAACAATGCTTAACTTGACACAAGAGTCGTGTGTCTTAGCCAACATCTCCAGGCGGTGAGGTTATACAGTAACATAAGAACCCTTCAAAATCCATAGCTTGTTATACACCAGCGAGTGTGGGTTGCTGTGTACTCTTATATTACTCAGACTGTCGTAACAGTATATCCACGTGATCGGGTATTACCTAACAAGAGCTTCACAAGTTAGTAATCTAAGAATTAACTTTTTTCATTGCCTTGCGTATACCAGTGAGTCACGAGATCATGGCATCACGCACCTTCGCTATGATAACACCTGATAACAGATATTAGGCTCCACTCTTAACCCCTCCCCCCCCCCTCTCTATGAAGGGGTACAATACTCCTCGCATGTCCAAAGGGTTGCTGGTTCACGCCCGAGATGACCCAGTTGAACCAGTTTTGAATAGACATCTTAACTATACCAATGAGGATATGAAGGCGGTCGAGTGCAGTGCCGATCACGTTGTCTTCATGTCTATCGAAGGGTTCATCTTTCAGTCCTCTGTGTGGGTTGAATCCGCACTGCCAGGGAGACCTACGTGACCCTCTCATCCTTTATTTCTGAAAGCTGTAACTAGAACAGTGTTTTGACGGTCACTCTCCACCTACGTGATGTCAGTCCAGTTCACATCTCAAAGTTGTTTCATAGATGACAACAGGCAGTCCTTGACATCTCAGAATAATACTACGGTTCTGGTAATGATGCACAGTGTCGTCATCCTTGTCACTGTCGTCGGTGTACTACAAGTGTACTGAAACACAAACGTTTGATACAGTGAGTTCATTGGGCGGGTCCGAGGCTTATCTTGATAGCTATCCGGTGGACATGCTGTGAGAATTGTAGTAAGTCTTTCGTTACCAAATGTTAATTCTGGGTTGCTGAGTTATGTTTTCTAAGTGAGAAATCTGTGTATATGAGTGTGTAAGAATGCTAAGTGAGTGTAGTTACGTGTAGAAGATATCCGTGTTTGTATATTGTAGTATGTACCTGTTAAAGGATCACAAAGATTCTCCTAAGCTTTTTCACCAGGTGATTAAATGCCCAAACGCTACCTGGGGGAATAGGATGGGTTAGTTTAATCTTACGGTGAAATATAGTATATAAGAAACATTGTCTTACATCGTTTACTTTTTTAATGGACTGTTCTTGTGTTACAGGATTAGCTGTGGATCTCTCTAGTGGTATGTCTGAACACACTCCCTAGTGCCGCACACTCCGGCATCCAGAAGACCTGACCTTGAATGGATAGGAGTTGGCTTACAAGTGAGGATACACTGTTGATGAAGGCAAAGTGTTTCTCGCGGTGAAGTTCTCCTGTGGGTAAAGATCTACGGCCAAAACATCCCGCAAGCCAAGATATCCTGAATGGGGAAGTACTGTTGAGAACTTTTATGTCACCTAAGGAATCCCTACGCCACCCACGTCACACCTGAATACCTCCTATACCACCTACGTCACACCTGAGGAACCCCAATAGTCGCCCTTACTTTGCCGGGTGACCTGCAGAGCTTCGACAGAATAACCTCGTAGTAGGGGCTTCATCATGAGTATGAGATTTTACCACATGGTGGGGGCGTGGGTACTGGCGTGGGCAGCGCTACTGGTGGTGTCACAGCGGTCATGGGCGGTGTCCTGTCTGGCGTTAGGTCTCATGGCTGCACACATAGCAGACTGGGTTATGAAGGCAGCCAAGAACGCCATGAGAAGGACGTGCATCGACCCCACTGGAAAAGCCATCTTCATCACGGGTGAGTATCTACACATGATGTTTGTTCACTTCGTCATAGTTTGTATCTTGAGTTTTTTTTATCTCTCTGCAGCTCCTAAACGAACTTTGTTGCTCTTAACCCTTTATAGGACAAGGGATCCCCTTAGCTGAATAAAATCGTTGGGCGTTACCCGAATAAAATCACTAAGGGATGCTGCACTTTGCCCGCTAAACGGTTAATGGAGATAGATTCTAAGCCACAGTGAATTAGGATTTTTTTTCTTTCAGGAGAGATCTTGCAGGTTCCCCCGTGACATTTGTTTAGATATTCTGATGAAGAGATTCTAAGGCTTAGGGGAGGAAGTCACGTAACTGGCGGTGGAATTCTAGGATGCATTCCCCCAATCCCCTCTCCCAGGCTACATGTGACGTCACGAGAGATCATAATTCTCGGGGATATCCCTCAATTTTTTCCTTCTCGGGGATATTCCTCAATTTTTTCCCCCATTCTCCCCCCCCCCCCATCCCAAACACGTTTCTCCTTACCTTGATACAACCTGTGAAGCTTACAAAGTTCCCCAGTCACACACACACACACACACAAAGGTATATAGAAACTTACACGTACAAAAACTCCCCTAGCTCCCTAAGGACATCCCTCCCCCTTAGCTCCAAACTCCACTGTGTCAATTGGTTAAGGTAAACAAAACGACATCACCGGTGACGGCAGTACTCCCGGGGAAATCCAATAACAAGGTCGTTGACACACATTCTTGATATAAACTAAGATTTCCTCGACCAAGACCCAAATTTCTCTATATTCTGTCAGGTAATTCGTAAGTTTTAGTTTACACACACACACACACAGGCAAAACATCCTACTTGTAAATAGATAAAACTAAAAAAAACAATATATATCGCAAGACACTTCCAAACCTCGAAAATACAAGTGCGCGCTCTACCCCCAGCGGCCTACCAGGTATGGGCGACGCTTTTGAATATTAACAAAAACAAAAATGGCCGTCAAATAGTAAATTTTAGTCAGATCATGACTATTTTCGGATGGCTTCGAGTTCATGAGAGGACCAAATATTCCTCTGGAGTTTTAAGATAATAATATATGTTAAAGTATTTATGAACGTATTTGTGGATACATTGGAAATATAATTATAATAGAGAGTTTTTATTGTATGGGACAGTATTTGGGTGTTTCATCATCTGACGTCTTATAACAGGACCACCAACTTATGGACATTATATAAAGAAGTACAGTATTATATAAACAAGTGTTATAAGCGCTCTTCATAATACTTTATATATATTTTATACGGATTATATATAGATTAACATAAGGAATATACATGGTTGTAGCATCATTATATATAACTATTATATGATTATAGTTTAAACAAATATTATAGGTACCTGTATATACGTTCACTCAGTAAAAAAAAAGTATCTTTACAATTTCTGTGCGAATTAAAATGACACCACGAACGAAGGTTTTTGATAAAGGCCCATGAGGCATACTGATATTCACCAGTCATAATGCAACAAACTAATTTTATATTTTGAATGAAATAACTAAATTAGACCTTCCATAATAGGTAGGATACGTCTCACAATCACTCCTACCAACCCTAGCGAGACAAATGTACATAAATTTTTCTTTCTATCACAAATACAGTAAACTCATACTATGGACATGGTTGTATAGACCCAAAGAAGCTTATCTCTTAAGATATACACATCGGCAATATTATCAGTATGTACACCGATATACACAGTATTTTCTTTTTTACTGTTTACGTAACATTGATGTACAGAAGGTCACAGAGACAAACAGGATTGGCGTCAGGATAGTGATAAGCCACAAAGAGGGAGATAGGCCTAGTGTCGACGTCCCTAGTTACGCGCCAGCTAGTTGAGGACACGCGCAGGTGGGATATCTTTGGGCATGTAAACATTGTCGGCATTATTAATTATAATCTATGATAATTGGGCCATTTGTTGTTTGTACGAAGTAGAATGAATATTGACTTAATGCTTTGTTCAGTTTATGATCTCATGTTGTAAGTAGATGTGCACGGTACTGACACACATCTATGGTGAGGTGATGACGCCTCTACTTTCGTTATAAATTACTACTTACAAACACGTCATCTTCTTCACCAACCTTCATTTTAAATTCATACATTAACAGTTTTTTCCATTGTATTTCTCGATATTTCTTAAGTTTTAAAGTCATATTTTTTTAAAGATCTCTATTTTCCATAGCCTTTACACAGGTATATAGCCTTTACACAGGTATATAGCCTTTCTCGAAGAAATTTTCGATTATTTTACCTGATGATTAAACATCCTAAAATGACCTTAAACGCGACCTTAAGCACGACCAACGCGATCATAAATACGCCCTCAAACACGGTATTAAATACTTCCTCAAATACGACCTTTAACGCGACCTTAAATACGACTTGAAACATGACCTCAAACACGACCTTAAATACGGTCACAATCACGACCTCAAACATTACCCAAACACGACCTCAAACATTACCCAAACACGACCTCAAACATTACCCAAACACGACCTCAAACATTACCCAAACACGACCTCAAACATTACCCAAACACGACCTCAAACATTACCCAAACACGACCTCAAACATTACCCAAACACGACCTCAAACATTACCCGAACACGACCTCAAACCACGAGGCTTATCGAGTTGGTAAAATACAAGGAGAAGACAGTTTTATGTGACTGATAAAACAGTAACATTAGCCACCTGTTGATAAGATATGTTTATCTCTTAACCTAACCTAACAGAGACATAAAGGTGAATGGGACTTATATAATATGCTATCCTACATATCATAACACCATAGAAATGACTATATATAATTGTTAGTTTGGTTTAAAATGAATCAAATTGCCACAAAATGTTTATTGTTCTATAGAAATTAAAATTATATATGCTGAAAAATGGTACTCTTAAGATGGTACCCTCCAGAAGCTTCCAAGTGATTTCGAGTTAAGGATGTGTGTTTGGTAACTTGTTCTATTCTATAATACGGTGACCTTAAAACTGAACCGCATAATCCGCACATACGCGAGATATAGTTTAAAGCTTTTAGATATGAACCCCAGTCTATACTTTGTCAGCCTTACTTCGAATATAAACACAATAATGACTTCTTTTTAGGTTCTTACTTATCATTAACCTTAAATCTTTCTCACAATCGGATTCCACTGTATCTGCGTTATTCAGCTGATAGATAGTTCCTCTGTTTCCATTTCCTAGCCTTTAAGCTGTTCACTTTTCCACATTAAATTACATGTGTCATTTTTCAGTCCATACTAAAAAGTTATTTAAGTTTTCCTGTATTTGTTTTTCTTCTGATTTTTCATCGGATTTCATTCCACTCCTTTCTGTCAGCCTTCACCACCACCACCACCAGTCTACCATCACATTCCACACCCATCCTACACCTCACTACACACGTCCTCTATCGTTCACCATACCTACACCCACATCACTTCCCAATACATCACTGTCACCTGCCAATACATCACAGTCACTTACCAACACACCATAACACATCACACAACAAATAACAAAGACATTATATGAACCCAAATTTGAAGAAAGAGTAAGTATAGCGAAGACGTCACATAAACACCATCACAACAGGGTAAGACAACGTGAGCTGGACGTCATTATAATGCCATTAACGTCGACTTAAATCACCAGGAGAGACACTTGAGGTCCCACAAACTCACACCACTTAAGAGTGTGTGTGAGAGGAGGAGAGGTGATACTTTCTGGTTTATACTCGTATGGTGTGGTGTGGTGTGGGTGTAGGGGGGGGGGTGTGTATAGTGTAGTGTTGTTTTAGTATGATGTGGTGTAGTGTCATAGGGGTGTATTGGAGAGTAGTGGTGTAGTATAACCTATCCCCCATCCCTACAACAACCACACCAATGAATCCCTCAACTCGACCATAAGGCCACTTGACATACTAGTGAAGTTTAATTTGGGTGGTATTTTAACGACTTACGGTCAAGTGCTAAAGATAAGCTCATGAACCTTTGGGACACATAAGAGAGGTAGGGACTTAGGTCATTCATCAACAACCGCCTGTCATAGCAGTCATTTGCCAGCGTTAAAATTATGACTCGCTCAAAACTAGTCCTATATGACGGGATCAAACTAAAAAAAAATAAACTATGACGTTTCTTCACGCCAGAGGAGCACTAAATAAACTCTACAGATTCCTTGGTACTACATAGCCCCCCACTCCCCACACACACACACACACACACACACACACTCATGACCTTCACATAAGCTACATCATCATCAAAACCACACGCAAACATCACCAATGGGCCAGTAAAAAGAACTGCTAACAATGCTACACACACACACACACACACACCTCCCAACACATACCTCCTAAGAACACGCACACACGGGCCTATGATTTCACCTGGAAAACGTATTCAACATTTCTAGATATCCTTAGGTAAGATGAAAACAACATCCTTCTTCTCCTCCTTATTCCCCTTCCTCCCTCTCTCCCTAAATCCCAGTTCTTCTTCTTTATTTCTTCTTCCCTAACTTCCACTTGCAACAATCTTCCTCTCCATCTTGATTCTTTCTCTTTTCTCCCTCCCTCCCTCCCTCCGTTCTTCCTCTTCGCCGCCATCCACACCCACACACACCGTCATCCACACCCCCATCCACACCCCCCCCATCCACACCCAACTCACGAAATCATTTACAACTACTTCTATCGTAAATCAGCATTCATTCAGATCCACCAAGATCTTCGTGGCGGAACTGGCGAAAATATATCTCTTTGACGTCATCCTTCAGCCTCTTCAACCACTTCAGCCGCTCAAATAACCACAAAAAATGAGTATATATTTCTCGCCCTTGTTGATGCATATAAATAAATAAATAAAGCCTCAAGTGGTAAACAAAAGGTCAAGACTTGAGTAAATCGCATATTTTAAAACACCCGGTGAAAGAGTCTAGGGCATTCGAGGGACACTGGTTGTATTTGGTTGGCTGAGACGCGCACTTCCGCTCTGACGTCACCTCTATGATGTCATTGTACCCTTCTACGTCACGACCCGGCGGCTTAAACCACTTAGGTCAGTTGATTATGGGCACTTGGGAATGCCCAACCGGTATTAAAACATCAAAATACCGAGTTAGTGAAAAAGAGGATATGTCAGTCACCTTGATAACGTTGGAGGAGGTGTGATGGAGATGATCTTACAAACGAAAACAGATAGGTGACACACACACACACACACACACACACACACACACACACACACACACACACACACACACACACACACACACACCATCTCCAGGAACATGACTGACAGCAAGAGATAAAAATCAGGGACTTTTGTGAACTGGAAAATGAACACCATTTTTTTTTAAGTTAACTTAAATAAAAAAAAATCCTCTCAGTAAGTAGTGTCGTCTCCTTCACTAATGTTCTCGCCTAGTGTCGTGAAGCAACGTAACATCCTGAATATGAGGCGTGTGTGTGTGTGTCTGTTTACTCAGTACTCCCCCAAAAAATAACAAAAACTCAGAATGTCACGACGTAAACAGGGAAAATCACGAAAGATATGTACTGTAAAATACTGACGGTTACTAAGTTACAAATATTAACGGGAAATCGTGATTGGGTAACAACAAAAATATATAAAATGAAGGTTTACACAAATATGCCATAACTCTAGGTTTAGTATAATCGTTTTAATGTCATATAAACCCGACGTTAGAGAAAGAGGGAAAAATTATCATAAACTATATTCAAAACACTGTTAAAATTGTCTCTATATAAGGTTCAAGCGGTCTCTCTCTCTCTTGTTTAAATTTTGGGTCAGACTATACGGCACTAAATAATATCCTACAGAATCCGCGGACCAAACCCTAATCTACATAACACAACCAAATGAGAATAATTTAGACTTTAGTTAAGGTTAGGTTGGGTTAAGTTGGTCGCGTGTGCCGTCAGAGAAACTATATCTTGTCTTGCTGGCACCCAAATGAACTGCTGTCGTGTTTTATATAATTTATGGAATTTTATAAGACTTTTTCGTAAGGTAACATTATTTATATTTCCTTACTTTTACACAAATTAAAAACAATATGGCGGATTTAGATTAATAATGATATTCTCACTTAACCTAACCTAACCTAACCTAACCTAACCTAACCTAACCTAACCTAACTGGGAATATGGCGAAGAAAAAACAACAACAAAATTCAAAGCTAATCTTCCTAGACAAATCTCATCCTGGCGCCGTGTCTGAGGTGGCGGGATAATGTCAGTATCTACCATCCTGCCGGACTTTAGTATAGAGTAGCGTCCGGGCAGTGACCTTATCCTTGACCTTTAGAATTCTTAAAAGGCAAGAAGATCCTTTTAGGAAACAAACAGTGCACATGAACAAGGACAAGAAGTCACCTTTAATAGCAAGATATTTTTATGAATGACGAACACGTGACGAAAACAAATAAAAATGCTCTCTAGTTGGTTATATAGTAACGTTAACGAGAGAGAGAGAGAGAGAGAACGAAGTATAGAGTATGAAATGTCATCAAAAAATCAACCATCGACAACTGTTCATTCGTGTGTTTCCCTAACCAGTTTCTCGTCTTTGTTCACAGGCTGTGACACCGGGTTCGGTCGACTCCTTGCGGTCAGGCTCGACAAGATGGGTTTTAAGGTAAGTGTGGGATTGTTTTTGTTTTTTCCAGTTGCGGTAGACATCTCTGTTAACGTTTCTTCTGACTGGTTGTTTGAGTTATAAATTATTATCTCCCTTATTTTAAGAATTAATATTAGATTATACAAGATATACAAACCTAAAAATAGAATATTATAGTAAATATCAATTAAAACAACCCAATATTAGGTTTTAATAAATAAATAAATAATAATAATAATAATAATAATAATAATAATAATAATAAATACTAAGTGTCGGAAGGTGACGTGAGGCGGTAATAGACTGCATCTAATCTATCCTTCATCGTCTCTTCAGGTATACGCGGGCTGTCTGCTGCCGAATGGTGAAGGCGCTTGCTTGCTGCAGCAGGAGGCATCGGCGAAGCTTAAGGTGTTGAGCGTGGACGTGACCAAGGACGACGAGGTGCGAGCAGCTTACAAAACCATCGAGAACGACCTTGGCGAGGACCTGAGTACGTAGATTGGAGAGGTTGGACTTGGAGGGGGAGTGGTGGGGGGGGGAGGTGGATGATAGAGAGGAGGGGTGGTTGAGAGGGGGGGGGTTCCTGTTTGGGCTAGTAAAGTGAGTGTGTGGGAGAGAAAGAGATTGTGTGAGAAAGAACATATGTGAAAGTTCTTGGCCGTGTGTGTGAGTGTGTGTGTGTGTGTGTGTGTGTGTGTGAGTGTCTGTCTGTCTGTCTGTCTGTCTGTCTGTCTGTCTTTTATTTGTCTTCTGGATAAGTAAATTTTCAACTCTCTTTTTCATTTACATCTTAAGACAGTGCAGTAATATGTAAACTATATAAGTAATAAGTGTGAGAGGCGTCATCTGGTGTGCTAGATGACGTGTATATATATATATATTCGTTCATAAATACATAAATACAATAAAAATGTAATATAGTTATGAATTATAGTTATTCATCCATGTATTCCTATTTTCCCTGTTATTTATGACTATCGATTTACACTTAAGTCTCTCTTGTCACGCCATGTCACGACACCATTCTCACTAGGGCTTCCGGGCTCTTGAGAACTACGACTAAGATATATTGTTTACTGGTTGTTTTAGTCCATCTATTTTCTCACAGTGTCTCGTGTGTTCATGTGACCTGTGTCTTATTGTTATCTGATACTGAACGCTGGACCTAACTAACGCCTTCTACCACTATCTGTTATCATGCTACTACCATAATCACCTGTTATCATCCTACCACCACCTCGAACAACCACTGTTATTATACAAGTACAGTTACCTATTATTTTGCCGTAACCCATTTCTCCTCCTCGCCCCTGCAGGTCTGTGGGCGGTAGTCAACAACGCAGGTATCGCGGCCTTCACAGAGATAGAGTGGTGTCCTATCTCTGAGTTCCGCCGTGTCTACGAGGTCAACTCCCTGGGTCCCATCCGCGTCACCAAGGAATTCATGCCCCTCCTCCGTGAGTCCAAGGGCAGGGTCGTCCTCGTCGCTTCCCTCGCTGGTGAGTTTCGTGGAAAGTTCCTCTGCTTTTGATCATGTTTTGAAGATGTTTCGTCAGCGTCAATTCGTTGAAGGGTTGGGAAGCCTTTTGAGGACATAAGTCCATAGGAAAAGATCGTAAGTGCAAGGCTTTGTGAACCCAAAGGCTCACAAGTCCAAGAACCTTCGTGCATAGGACAACAATTCCAAGAGCATGCAAGTCCGAAGGTTTGTAAGCTTAAGATCTTGAAAGTCCAAGACCCAGGAAGTTCAAGGGGAAGGTTCTACTTGAAGCTTCCCGAGCTGGTGAATTTCTTGTAATTTAAGTTATGTTTAACCTTGTTATGCCCGCTTCTGGTCACTATGTGTGACTATGATACCATTATACTTATGTCAAAACTGATCCACTTTAATTGTTGTTGTTTTTTCTGGGGTTTTTACCTTGGTTGTTTGTTTTCCTCTCGCCGTCTCCCCCACTCTCCTACCGCCCTAATTTCCGAGTGAAGGACGTCTGGCAAGAACGAGTGTAAAGATGTGGTCGTGTGGTGGGTCTCTCAGCGTTACTCGAAACTAGTTATGAGTTCATCTCTGTTTATAAAACAACAAAACGGGTGTATATCCTCCGTAATATATATCCAGAATAATTCGTACTTATCTCTACGTAAACAACTGTTCGTCTCCTCTGGTAAAACATAATAGGTACAGTACAAACATGGTCTTATCTCTTATGTAAATACAAGTCCTCATAAGAACCAGTAGTTACACAAATGTCCACCAAACGTCACCGCGTCTCTTATCGTGTTCACTGTAACTCGAGCCTTAAAAGTCAACAAGTGTTGGCAGCTCCGCCAACCTCGTCACTGGTTGATTCACTTCCCCGAAAAACTTCCCTATTTCCACTGAGTGAGCGTCGACCACTTCCACTTGACAGTGGAGGCTCATGCGATAGCGTTTCCTTTTGCATGTATTGTTATTAAAAGTTCAGGGCAGTTTCGATACCATTTCACCACCATCAGTTGTCGTCGCCCAAGAGAACTTAACTCGCTGAGAATGAACCAGTGAACCAAGAGACTCGAGGAACCATAAGATTACGTTTATCTACGTTCTGCAAGACACACCACACTGTTTATCGCGAGCTAAGAGAAGATAGCCGCCAAATGACATTGAAATTACCTTGTGACTCAACTGTATCACGATGCGAGCTGTCACCGGCAGCTGGGAGGAAGAACAACTTTATAAATCACCAGGAACCCGAGTTTTGAAACCTAACCTAACCCGAGGTCTTACGCCAGATGCTGTAGGATTCTAAGCTATGGTCGTCTTGCTGGAATTCGACTTTGTTTTTACACCATTAGTTTGTCGTGAGCTGAGTGACTCGAACACCTTCGGGTTTATGACAGGACACGAGACCCTCATCATGTTTTTCATATTTATTTTATATTTTTTCCCATTTTAATTTTTCCATATTATTATTTTACATCTTCCATTGCTTTTCCTCTCGTTATCTGCACATTAAGAGACAGTGTATCAGCCAAGGTCAGTACTATGAAGCTACAGGATGCTCTAAGTAGCTCCCACAGTTATCATCACTTTAACCACGTAGATTATCCCCTACCAGAGCCCGGAGATGCTGCCACTTGGTTTACAGTATTGTTAACTGGATCAATATTTATGGGACAAAACCATAAAATAAAATGGATCGATTTCATTGTTCAAGATCAGAAGTAATTTATTTGTTACTAAAACAGATCATACAGCTGTTTGTTGTATCCCTTCACAGATAAGACTCCTGTATCGTATATTACCTTGGTTTAAAATTCTGTATGTCTTATCTACTGGTTTATGTTGAATAAAAGTGAAAGAAATTAAACTATAATGTTGATCTAATCTTCTCTATAAACGATAAATTTATGTTAAAAGTGTAAAAATACGTCGAGGAAACGCCCATTCGAATCATCCGTTTATGAGATACAAATAAAATCATACTTAAATAATATGTAAATTACCCGCGACAGCCAGGGTGCGAGTGACCATCTGGCATATTGCAAGAGAGATACAGAGAACGATCTCAATGACCCAGGTGTTGACAGCCAGGTAATACAATCCCTTTAGGAGGGACGGAAAGAACAGTCCTTCATAATTATAGAGTTTTACTTAATCTCTAGATGGACGATGGATAAGCCAGAATATTATTACGTATTAGTAAGTAGTGTTTTATGCAGGAGGGAGAAGCAGGAATGGTTTTTTTAGGTAGAGATAAAGATAGAGAGATAAAATAACTTACTCCTATTAAAACAACATCGACGGGACGAGAGGAGGTTTGTATTGGGAACAAGAGCCAAGGAGATAATATTAAAAATGTGGGGGAGGGGAAGATACAATACAGTATATTGGTGTTGAAGAGTAAGACCTTCCTCAGCCACGGTGACTAAAACATCTGAAAAGCTTATTTATAAAATCTATCTGGTGTAGAAACTAATTAAACCTTAGTAGCTGATTAACCCTGTCAGATGAAACGCCATTTGTATCAAAGGAGAGAGAAGCAGGGATGGCAGAGTCCTATAGGATGTACTACGGCATCCTGTCCTCCCACACGTGACTTGTTTAACAACGCAGCACCCCGAGTTATACAACACTGCTATAGAGATCCTAGCCTTCTCCCTAAAGGATCCCCCCCCTGGTCTATGGTATGACATTCTCTTCGCCCGAATTCCTCGATCTATTGATATAAGTCCGCCAAGGTTGGGTGGCGTTGGGCCTTAGGATCTTCCGCCTTCGAGATAAGGAACTTATGGATGGAATTTCTATACAGTGTCGAGTCATTTTCCTGTGATTTTTGTTCCCTTGTCTTTTATCTGTTACCTGTGTAAGTGTCCTTGACGGTATTTGTTCCCTGAGAATACTAAAGACATCAGGGACAGTGATTCGACACCCCCTGACCCCCCTCCTTGCTTCCCCCATGCCTCCCTCCCTCCCTTCCCCATACCTCCTTCTCTGTCTCCCTCCCTACCTCAGTATAGTTCAGCATCATCGTCAGAATAGTCAGTATAGTTCTGTCATCATAACAACTACTCCTGAGAGAGGGGCAGCGTCTTACACGACCCAACAGTAAGAGAGAGGTGGTGTTGGACAGGAGGTCATTATAAGTAACACCCCCATCCCTTGGAGTACTGTGTGTGTGTGTGTGTGTGCATAGAAGACCCAAACACCGGAAGTCACGTGGTGTTACTCATCGTAGTCCGAGTGAGTGACCTCATTATCACCACCCCCCCCTTCCTCCTCCTCTGACGCACACTAAACATCTTTTATTTTGTAATTAACTCAAGGGACAAATAAACACAATCATTATTAAACTTTTGAGGATTATTGATATTAAGTAGTTGAGGAAATATGATAATTGGACTTAGAAGTTACTTAAGAGTCAAGTTAATTATTTACGGCAAGTAAGAACCTCTGTTGTTTACTATCACCGATGAATGGGACTACGTCTTGCTATATAACTGGTCACGTGATGATGTGTGTTGATAACGATAACAATAATAACAATAATGATAATCAGGTATGATAAATTATTGATTGTATAAATAATACAAATAAAAACGATTATATATTTTTTTTCTATTTTGAGTTTGTGATTTTCTTGTGTTTAGCGTTAAGCTTGTTCCCATAGCCTTCCCACGCTAGTCTAAATTGTAGTCTCGTGAGTCCGGGTTACTGCCCACGCACGCAATCTAACAGTCACGTGTAACCACAGACTAATCTCGAGTGAACTTTAAAGAGGCACCAGTTCGCGCCCTTTCAAAAGTCTCAGACGTGTGACCTTTTGCTTCCGATATCATAGTAACTGGGGAAGTTACCATGGCGACTCTTATTTACCCAGTATAAAGACTTTAGTTCTCTTTAAATCCTGCCGATACACTCAGATTAATGTACATGTTATGTAAAAGACACTGGTAAGCCCTTTTCATACAGGTTGGTCGACACAATGCAATGGATTAGGTCCGTTTCCCCTAATCACTGGTGTTTATAGGTCAATATTATGAGCAAGTGGCCGGTGATGTGTGCTCAGGTCTCCTATAATCCAGACCCCAGACTCTTAGAGGATTATAGGAGCAGTGCTTCATATAACTGGTGATGTAAGGACGCACCTGAGTGACTGTTTTAACTGGTGATGTAAGGACACACCTGAGTGACTGTTTTAACTGGTGATGTAAGGACACACCTGAGTGACTGTTTTAACTGGTGATGTAAGGACACACCTGAGTGACTGTTTTAACTGGTGATGTAAGGACACACCTGAGTGACTGTTTTAACTGGTGATGTAAGGACACACCTGAGTGACTGTTTTAACTGGTGATGTAAGGACACACCTGAGTGACTGTTTTAACTGGTGATGTAAGGACACACCTGAGTGACTGTTTTAACTGGTGATGTAAGGACACACCTGAGTGACTGTTTTAACTGGTGATGTAAGGACACACCTGAGTGACTGTTTTAACTGGTGATGTAAGGACACACCTGAGTGACTGTTTTAACTGGTGATGTAAGGACACACCTGAGTGACTGTTTTAACTGGTGATGTAAGGACACACCTGAGTGACTGTTTTAACTGGTGATGTAAGGACACACCTGAGTGACTGTTTTAACTGGTGATGTAAGGACACACCTGAGTGACTGTTTTAACTGGTGATGTAAGGACACACCTGAGTGACTGTTTTAACTGGTGATGTAAGGACACACCTGAGTGACTGTTTTAACTTATATTATTTACTTGTGTACGAAGACTTACATCCATGACGCCATACACACACACACACTTTCTATGACAAATACGAAAGATAAAATATCCATGAGGAGGTGTAAATGAAAGAACTCTTTGTGTGTATTGTAATGTGATATAGATGGAATGAGGTTATGTGCTTCTTACTGTAGATTGTTGTTACACTTCCCCTCCCTCCTCCTCCCTCACTTCCACCATCCTCTCATTATCTCCCTCACTGGGTTTTCTTTACTGTGTACTGTTATAAATCAGATGACGTAAATAGATGGATGAATTCTTGGACATGCAACAATGATCCTCTACATACTCATTCGTACACACACACACACAAGCGCGCGTGCACTTCAATACATGAATGCTTCTCCCGAGTTTCAACATACACACACACACACGCCCCAACAGTTACAAAATTGCAACATATCCTGATACTATACCGCCTCTCCATCAACAAACTGTACCAACACTTTTATATTGATACACTACAGTCATTCTCACAAACTATACACCATCTCAACCAACTATGTACCTTTATCTTTCCCTCATTATAGAAATGTTCTCAAGGGTGTCAATAAACTCTTATAAAACCAAACCAAACCAAACCAAACCTAACCAAACCAAACCAAACCAAACCAAACCTAACCAAACCTAACCAAACCTACACCACCCCTGGCAGTCACCACACAAGACGGGAGAAATATAATCACCCCCAGTGTCTCTTGCATCATAATAAAAACATCTAAGTCTCCATTCCTTCGATGCGTACTTCATAATATCACGACAGTCACTTGTTTACACTTAGCTAGGCATGCGTAGTTGTCCTGGGCATAAACTAGTTCGAAGAAGTTATGTGTTTAAAGCTTATTGAATAGTTGTTACGTAAATGGATAAACAATGGTTGTATTTTCAGAAGGTTAAATTAGTCACACAAACAGTCTAAACAATTTATACGCATCCGAATAAGTTGATTGATTGTAAATAAACAAAACTGAACTTATGCTGCCGGGAATGAATGAATGAATGAATGAATGAGAGTAAACTTTATCTCCTCATTATCTTAACATTTATTCATCATTCATATATACCACAGTTATTACTTAACATCTTCACCATTATGTGCTGCGCCGTTATATGTAGTATCATCACGTTTATCAGTGGCACGACATACTAACACGGCACTGGCACTATCAAGGACTGCCACCACAACTACCACCAACACCCTTAGTATAACCATCAAAATTCGGATATCTCTCCAATAACCATTATTACCACCATCTCCCACTCTCCCTCACTGTCACCACCATCTCCCACTCTCCCTCACTGTCACCACCATCTCCCACTCTCCCTCACTGTTACCATCAGCACCACTACCCTTCCTCCATCAGCATTACCTCCAACACCCTTCCTTACTATCCATCTCCTCCCCCACCCCCTCACCATCAATTAATATTTTATTCCTCTCCCCCCCTTCTCTTCATCATCACTCAGCTCCCTCTCCCCCTTCATCACTCAGCCCCCCCAGCAAGGCTTATCAGGTACCGTTGACCTTGGCTGTAATGACTTGCAGAGTATTCAACCCCGGCTCCTGCGTAGTCTGTGGGGTGGGGGGCGCTTTTGTCGCCTGCAGATTTCACACCCGCTGCCGAACCGGTCCTTCACGCTCCCTAGTGGCTCCTGGCCCTGTGTGTGTAGCCCCTGGCTTTGTTAGTGTGGCCCCTGGCTCTGTGTGTGTGTGTGTGGCCCCTGGTTCTGTATGTGTGGCTCCTAGCTGTATGTGTGTGTGGCCCCTGGATCTTTGTGTGTGTGGCCCCTGGCTCTGTGTTTGTGACCCCTGGCTCTGTGTGTATGGCCCATAGCTCTATGTATGTGTGGCCCCTGACTTTGCGTGTGTGTGGTCCCTGGAAATTTTTTTAGGCCTGTCGTTGTGAATTTCATCAGTAATCGTAGCATAACTGTGGACTATAACACGCGTCCAAACATACAACATCAGAGCTAACAAACACAGTGAATGAGGTTTCCCAGGTCGTCATGTAATGATATCAAGTTGTTTTTATTTTATTTCGTGAGTTTTTTTTACTTCAACCCTCGCGAGATTTTTGTTTTGTTTCGTGTTTTTATTTACTTCAGGCTTTGGGGGACAGGAGGTAGAACATGAGGATGGTATCTAGTTGGTGTGGTGTGGTGTGGCGGAGATGACATGGCTCAACACATTGTAATCCACCACGCATGACGAGTGTAATAAAATCTCACTCCACAACAGACTTCGATTCTGCCAAGTAATGACATTATAAAAGAGAGAGAGACAAGATGGGTGGAGGGGCCGTGTGATGGAGTCTCGGGCATGACAAGGTAAAGTGAACAAGGCTTTATGTTCACGAAGGTCCCAAACACGCCCTGATGTTAAGCAAACACTTGTACACACACACCACTCACGCATGCATACACAACACACACAAAAATTACATCAGCGAATTTAACACACTCACACATATATCTCTCTCTCTCTCTCTCCAATTGCTTCATTTCCCCTCGTATCATCTATTGTTTTCAAAATTTGTATGTATGTATGTCAGTGAGCCACATTTTTTACATATTTCTCATTATGTCTCACTTCTTAATAAACTCTTATCACTATATCACGTTCTTGCCTCGTTTGGTTCAGGGTCGTGTCCTCTGTTTGGTGTTGTAACAGAGAGACGTCCTTATTTACAAACATTTCACCACATTTGTTCGAAGTACAATGGTTATAGTTGTTATATACTTAGTTAATTGTTATTGGTGTGATTTATGCATTTTTTAGAAGGCTTTGGTCTTTAAGTTTGTGGTATGAAGTACGTACGTCAAGGAGGGCGGGGCAGTGAAGTTTGTTTACAAAGGGATGATGTGGATGACTTACTGTTTACAATGGGGCGAGGCTTTTTGATGGTGGTCACAACACACACACACACCTGTGACCTTCAACCACCGATAGCCTTCACATTTTACCTTTTTAATTATATATATATATATTTTTTTTATCCAATTCAACTTAGAATGTATAATGAACCTACACGGAGGCGGTGAATAGAGTGTAGCGGTTCAGAATACACATTGTTTACGAATTATTGCTTACTATTTATACGAGTCGAGGATGAGGGCGAATGTATTCACTCTCTCTCTCTCTCTCTCTCTCTCTCTCTCTCTCCCGGATTCATCCCACACAAAACTGGAAGCGGAAGAATGACGGAGATAAATTGGGTTTCCGGTGACTTGCTGACGCTGTTAAACTTATTGTAAGAGAGAGAGAGAGAGAGAGAGAGAGAGAGAGCCCCCATGTGCGAGAAAAAGGTTGTAATTGTAAAGTAAGGGGGAGAGGTGGGGGCGGGGCGGGGAGGGGAAGTGGGAGAGGGGGGAGGGGAGGAGAGAGAGAGAGGACTTCTTATAATTAGATTCAATTTACTGATAATTCCTTTCACGAAAAAAAAAACGAAGTCATTGACTCTGATGATGAAACTATTAATTTTGATTACCTTTAGTTTAATCACCCCATCCTAACGCTATACCTGGGGTGTTAAGTGTAGGTTATATTAGATTAAGTTAGGTTAGGGTAGATTAAGTTATGTTAGTTAGGGTAAGTTATATGAGGTTAATTTAAGTATGATTATCGTTAGGTTAATTGACCTTCAGACGAAATAATCTGGGTGTCTAATCTTCAGATGATCTATTAATCGAATAGAAATAATATTAAACTGAATGTCAACTGTGATGCATTAATAAATATTACTATATTAAATATCAACGTTCCAGGTGAGAGGTTTCTTAATTACGAGTGAGAGGAGACAGGTGTGAATTAAAGATCACTCAGGTATTTGCCGACCTGCCAGTGACTTGTAGTTCCCACTTAGACATTCGGCGCCCCACACCTCTTTATTGTTGTATTATCCCCATTATTCTAACATCACCTTCTCTGCCGCTATTACTTGTCTGACTCTCTCTTTCTTCTCCCCGTCAGGTCGCTACACTTTCCCCGGGTTCACCGCCTACAGCATGAGTAAGCACGCCACCGTCTCCTTCGCCGACGGCCTTAGACTGGAGATGCAGAAGTGGGGAATCTCTGTCCACACCGTCGAACCCACGCTTTACAGGTGAGTTCTTGAGCCACGTACACTATGAGCCGCCCTGCTGGCCCACCATTTTTACAGATAGTTCCTTGATATTAATTTCCATTATCTAGAGGCGTTTTCATAGCGTCATGTAAGTACCGTCTTGACCAGAACACAATTGGATATTTAAAATCAACTCTATCTCCATTATCTTCGCTAACTGTTAACGATGGCAACTCCATAAATTCTTCATCTTCTAAATACGATTATTTTTCTGTGGTCACGATTAGACCCAACCACCTGTATCCCCTCTTATATTTTGTTTTCCCTTTGGTCGGTAGGACTCCCATCAGCCAGGAGGGTCCCATACACAACGCCCTCGACAGGTTCTGGCACCAGTGTTCTGAGGATGTGAGAAAGTCCTACGGCGACGAGTACATCAAGGACTTCAAGACAACCATCTCCAGCCACCTGAACAGAGCCAAGCCCTCAGAGAAGATCAAGGAGGTCATAGACGACATGGTGGACGCGGTGGCCGGCGACGACCCCAAGGTACAGTACTTCTCGAGGCTCACCATCCCTCCCTTAGTGCCAGAGGTTCTAGGTGGTAAAGGTTCTAGGTGGTAAAGGTTTTAGGTGGTAAAGGTTCTAGGTGGTAAAAGTTCTAGGTAATATTCGTCTATCTCGTTAAATAATCAGATTTTTCTTGACAACGAACAACTTAATTAAATCCCCCAATCACATGAAGATTACCTCCCCCCCCCCAGCTCATTTCACCTGATGCTTAAACACCCAAACGCTGCATTGAGGAGTTAGGTTAGGTTAGGTTAAGTTAGGTTAGGTTAGGTTAGGTTAGGTTAGGTTAGGTTAGGTTAGGTTATGTGAAGTTAAATTAGAGTAGATTATATTAGGTTAAGTTAAATTAGATTAGATTAGGTTAACATTAACAACAAAGGGATTAATCTTAAAAATTAAATCAGCTTAGGAAGGAAGGGCTAATAATATTCAAGAAATCCACAAAAATCAAATACGTGGATTTTTAACATAGAAGACCTTGGTGGTTATAATGTTAAAATAGTGTGTGGATTAACAAGGCATCTCTCTCCTTCACACAGATCCGTTATGTACCCAGCGTCATCACACAGATCAGAGCCAAACTTCTCTCTTCTCTTCCTGACAACCTAAGGGATCACTTCTTCCTCAGCAGCCAACCCCAGACACCACCAGCCTACGTCACAGGTGAGAGATAGATAGATAGATAGGTGGGTGGGTGGGTGGAGGGATAGATGGATGGAGGGATAGATGGATGGATGGATAGATGGAGGGATGGATGGATGGATGAATGGATGGATGTATATAGATTGAAAGATACTAAAAAAACTCTCTTCTCTCTCCACCAGAACTGAGGAAGAAGAAGAAGCCTAGATTAATGGATCCACGAACCATCAGGCCAGGTGACCAAGGCCGTGGTAAGAGGCTAGTCAGAATGTTCTCCATGCCAAACTGGACCAAGAATGAGATGACCCCTTCACCTGTCAAGGAAAACGAGCCTATGTTCAAGTTCTAAGTGGGAGATTTTGAATTCTGAAGTTTTCTAATTGAGTTGGAAGGCTTCAAGTTCGTTCAAGTTTAAGGGCCTCAAGTTTCTGCTCAAGGGCTTCAAATTCAAGTTCAAGTTCTGTGATTTGGGGCAAACAGATAAAAACCCTCTATCAAAACAAAAGCTGGAACAAGATCGATGTTCCAAGTTCAAGTTCTTAAGTTTTGGTCGTACAGATAATATCCAATACCATGAGAAAAAAAACTTTAACTTCTAAGTTTTAGGCCGAACTATGGATATCTGTAGATAATTTAAAAGTTCAAATTCATCTGTTTTTATCGAGTGATAGTGACAGTGTCTAGACCCCCAAGTTCTAATTACATTCTATCCTGTGTTGTTGTTCCATTCAAGGTCATTTTCGGTCTAATAGAGTGATGTCATGCAAGTATCAGTTTTATTCAGTGTTGGCGGCCGTATCTAGGCTTATATATTGTTCTAAGATCACGTGTGCATTATTAACGGGTGCCATTTATATATAAGAAAACAAAATGACTGCAATTTCTACGTCGTATTTTTTTTAGTGCTGACAATTACACCTTAGTGGAATAAGTTCAAATTCTAAATGACATCAGTGAACTTTTTTTTTCATGTGGTGTCTTTTTGAATATGAGAACACAAAAAGTTTAATCCAGTGGAATTTTTTTTTTACAACTAACTGTACCTGCTACGTCAGACCATATATTCCCTTTACCAGTGGTAGCTCATTGTGTGTTCAGCTGCACTAGAAAACATGAATGAAATATCCCCAGAGAGAAAAATTGTATCATAAACTTCATGACCAGTTTAAGTACACACGTTATATCAGGGAGTCATAGAGCCTTCAAGTGGGAACAAGATACGTCGTCGTCTTGTTTACTTGTATAGCTATGAACTGTTGTACCAGAGCAAACATATCGGAGATGCTTACCAGGACACTTACTAGAGAGTCCAAATTTTCAAAGATTCGTAAGATACAAACTTTAAACACAACAAATACTTCACAAGAAATAACCTTAGTGGTTTCATCAACGATAACTTAACTAGATACGTTTAACATCACACCTTAACTGGAGCTAAAATGAATCAAGTTAAGTTTATCTCTTACATTAACTGATGCTAGTATATTTGTTTGTTTTTTATTCATTCTGGTTTCAATTAACTTTGATTATATTCTTTGTGAAGGGAAATAAAAACGGTAAATATACAGAGATGTGTGAAACAAATAAGTGCGCTTTTCGATCTTCACTTAGTAGGAAAAGTTATCGTATACATCTTTGAGAATCTGGCCCCAGGGACCTTCTTCGTTATGATCTCACACGCACGACCTGGTTAAGGTGTCTGTGTGTCTTATTACCTGAACTGTGGCTGTTTGTGTAGTGTTCTATGTCTGTATAACTCTCTGTTTGTATGTACAGTGATGTGTGTCTGTGTACATTGGTGTGTGTGGGTGTACAGTGATGTGTGTGTGTGTGTTTGTCTACGTACAATGGTTATGTACAGTGTTCTTTGTATAGTGAGACGGGTCTGTATATTACCTTCACTATACCATACGTGTGTCTGTATAGTGTACTTAAAAGCACAACAACGTGTACCTGTACAGTGACCGTGATTTATGTTGTATATAAATGTACAATAATTTAAGCTTTCAATTTATCAACCTTTGTTAATAAAACTACCTACAAGTACATGTCTTAAAAAATACTAAACCCAGCTAAAGAGAGTTAATTGTAACTATTAACTAAACAAGGGAGGTTAATTTTACAAGTAACAATTAAGAATCCGAATATGTACATGAACTTAGTAAATCAACTCTCATATCAATAGGACATATACTATAAACCTCAGACATGTTATTTTGTGGACATCAGTTCAACTTTAAAAATACATTCCTGTTTTCTAGTCTAATATTGAAGTAAACTGGACCAATATATTTCATCTTTATATACACAATATACACAATAATTTCAAACCATTCAGGTATACATACTCGGAATCCCATTTTCTGTATATATGTATGTATTCAAAGGGACCAAATTATCCTCACATTAATTCCAGTTGGCAGTGTATTACCGGGAAAATTGCTCCAGGGTTAATTACACCTTACCTGGCTTACAAAAAATGACTAATGAATATGAGTGTTTGGTGTACGTACCTGTATTGTGTGTTGATGGTGTTTGATGACGAGAGGAATAAGTTATCGTGATTCCGGTAAGGAGCAAACATTACAGGGTATAATGTTATGAATAAAATATTATTTCTTAATTGCCAGTTTCTTATCCTTTTATTTATATATACTTGTAGGAGAAAGTTTAGTAACACGAGAGAAACTTTATTAACAAGAAGGACAGTTGAATAATTAAAGACGATTAATAAAACAAGGAAGAAATATTACATGAGAAAGATAATTTAAGAAAATAAAGATTATTAAAAATGGAAGGCTTAATAACGAATAATTAAAAACAAGAAAAAGATCAGCTACAAAACATTAAAATCAAATGGAAGAAATTAAAAAGAGAAAACGATTTGAAAAACAGAGAGAAATCAGCGCCGACAAATATCAGAAGAAGGAAGAGTGAGAGACGACAATAACGAGAGGAAGAGAGAGAGAGAGAGGCAAGAGATAGTGTGGTATAGAATCATCAGCAAAAATAAACACTTCCAATGTACTACCCAGCTCCGTGAGAGAGGAAACTGGCCTCAAGTGAGAATTATTTACGAACACACTTAGATATATTCCCGACTGACAGACACGTTATTGTTTACTGGTGTTCATGGTATACTCTGAGACCGTGAATGAATACGTGAGGTGCTCACTTACGTTACTCAATACGTTAATAATACACATGTGAAGTTGTTTAGTCTCAGTTTACAGTGTGGACCATACTGTATATACCGGAACTTAAGAGTGGATGGAGCGTCACTTAAAGGTTTATTTATGTTTTACTTTAGTTATTTTTCAATGCTAAGTCTTTATTATTTCATATATCGGATCTTAAACGTGTTAGACTTTAATAAACTACTGAACAGTCCCCGAGCTAGATTACAGAGCTCTGGATATGTTGTAGAGCTAACAGCTACTCACTGTAGTACCAACTTGCATTATAAAATCATAAATATTTGGCCATGCACATGCAGGCGTAGTGCCTTTTTCAAGAACATACTTAAATGAATGTGTAAATGGGTTCCACATGTGTTGTGTGGATACAACACACCGACTATGAAGCCTTGGTTACACAAGTAAGCAGCGTAACTTGCACTGCATTTGACTTCTTCCACTTTCAACTTTAAAATTAAGTACTTCTTCACAGCCAGGTGGATTGGAGTGACCCACACACGAACCAGAGACTGAGTATCCACTCGGCCGCCGCACTATTCTCAGGTACGTTGTTAAGAACATGACCTATTATGAAGACTGTCTGATAAAAGGATCTATTTACGGTGTACTGTATAGAACATAATTATATGGATGAGAACGAGACGTCCAAGATATTGCAAGGAATATACTATGAAAAACATGCTAAGAGTGTTGCCAAATGTCACTGTTCAATACTCGTGTACAAAGGTGAGGTATCACAACATCTCGTTGTATATTGTAAATGTGTTAACATGTGTCTACTTTTCCAAACATGTTATATAATCATTGAGAGATGACTGGGCAAGCAATGGGTAGATCACAATACCACGAAAAGTATATGTATAAGGGCCATTAGTCCATTTGATTCACTACCGATTTATGTTTTGCATTTATATGAATATCTGGATATAATGGCCCAACGCTTCATCAAAGATAAACATAATTAACCTAAGTGCATAGTTAACCCAAAAGTGCTGCGTTCTCTATGATACATAAAGACAAGTGGTTGAAAGGAGTAACTCTTCTGTTTTGCAATAAGCGTTACTCGTTCCCACACGAAGCATCATAATTACGGAGAACAAGGAAAAGCGAGTGTGGAAACCATTCATAATGAGGCCCATAGGAACGAGCTAAATAATACTGTTCTTTCCTCCCTCGCTACATTTGTCTTGTGTTAAAACAATGAAGAGGTTAATGAATTTCCTGCTAAACACGGATATAATTTCTTCACACTACCCACAAACGCCATGGTTGTGAAGGGCACACCCAAGTTGCTGTTTTTTTAGTTAAAAAAAAATCGTGGTTTCAACATCGGATTCGTCGAATACAAGTACTATCAGTAACTATCTATAAAAAAAATCACAAAACTTCTGGCTTCGAGGCACCCGTCTCAAAATTTACTCCTTTTTTTTTGCGGAGATTAGTCCACCCAGGCACAAGTCACTGACCCACATCGGGGCCTGGGGGCGAAAATGTAATAATAATAATATTAAATAATAGTCATAATAATTCATAATAAATAAAATTTATGATAAAAAATAAACAATAAAATAATAATAATAATAATAATAATAATAATAATAATAGTAATAATAATAATAATTATTATTATAATATTAATAATTTTAATAATAAAGAACCATGACTACGAAACTCCAACTCAGAAACATTTTTAATGCAGCACTTGCCTCTGGCTACTTTCCAAGGAAATTTAAAACAGCAAGCATCCGACTTATACCAAAACAAGGTAAATCCCCCACCCAAGTATCAAATTACAGACCAATCTCTCTTCTAGAAACACCGGGAAAAGTCCTAGAAAAAATAATTAACCACCGACTGAGAATACACCTCGAACTTGAAGAGAAATACAACCCCAGGCAGCATGGATTTAGAAAACACAGAGGAGCCCATACAGCCTTAGCCCTAATTTACGAAAACATAGCAAACGCAATACACAACAAGGATCAATGTAACGTAGTATTAAGGGACGCAGCAAAAGCATTCGACAAGGTCTGGCACTTAGGGCTCAAATACAAAATTACCACCCAAGAACTTCCCAACAACTTTACTTCCTTTCTGTGTAACTTCCTTGACAATAGAGAGGCCAAAATTATCATTGGTAACCACATAGGCCCAAGCATCAAGTTATACAGCGGAGTACCACAGGGAAGTAACCTCTCGCCCACACTCTACACAATATACACGGCGGACATGCCACCTCCAATACACGGAGAATACGTTGCTTATGCTGATAACGTCACCCAAATCATCCGACATCCAGGCAAGGGCAAACAGATGATGGCACGGAAAACAGCCCACGCCATCGAGCAAATCAACGAATATGAAAAAAAGTGGAAAATACAAACCAATACACAGAAACTAATGATAATACACATTGCCAAAATAAACCCAGCACCAATCACAGTCAACAACGTACCTATACAATACTCCAACGAAGGCAATATTCTGGGACTCACAATAACAAGAACAGGCATAGCAAAACACATAACACAACGCAAACAGCTTGCCCAATCACAACTCACGAAACTACGAAGATTTAGCAAAATTTCCACCAAATTTCAACTACACCTATTCAAAACACTTGTCCGCCCCCACCTGGAGTATCCTCCAATACCACTTAGCACGATCAGCAAAACCAGCCAACTTAAACTTCAATCAGTACAAAACAAAGCTATCCGTAGAGCATCAAAGCAACTCCCGCCATACACCACCAAAATACAAAAACTTCACGAATTATACAATATCGAACCACTGAACACACGTACACACAGCCAAGCGCAGAGAATATGGAGCAAACTTGAAGAGTTGAAGGACCCATTATTCTCCCAGTTAAAAGAAGAAGGAACAACTAAAACACACAGCTGGTGGCCCAAGAGCGTCCATGCTAGCATAAAAGAACAAGACCCACTTTACACATATGTGCACATATAACACCACCATCTAACAAACATAAATTAACACCCATTACAATAATGAATACCAAGCTAGCTTAGCTTCCCTCCCCTCCACCTGCCTCCCTCCACCTGCCTCCCTTGAGCGCGCGGGCATGTGCTGTGGGTGGCCACCACCCCAACATATCAACTCGTCTCAGCTAGGTTGACAGCCCACCTGCCATCTCCCCCTCCTACTTTTCCTCTCGTTCCTATGCTTTACTTCTCTCTCCTCCCCTTTCCCAGTGCAAAGTCATTTGCCACTTTATTTCATTATCATCATCATCATACAAAATGACAAAAAAAGATCAAAAGTGAGAAACAGTATATGTATGTTGTGTTGTCAATGGCAAGAGAAACAATTGAGACCCTGCAATTGTGTGTAAATGAGGCATATAAAATTTTAAACATAAAATAACACCCGATTGTCACACAGCTCGACAAATTAGCTTTATTTACTCGGTTTACGATTTTAATATTTGATTTGAACACGCACAGGTACTGTAGACAAAATTACGTCTATTCATCTATAAAATTTTGATACCTTTCATCACCGAAGATTTAAAAAAAAAAATCCATCTGATTACTGTTTTAAGATACGGCTTTACACTCCCTTTCCCCACATCCCCCTCCCCGTCCCCTCCCACATCCCCCTCCCCCTTATCCCGCTCCCCATCCCCCTCCCCTTCTCATTACCCGTTCCCCCTCCTAATAGTCTAATACTAGCATTACGTCTCCGAAAACTGATGCTTATGGTTAGTTAGGTTATAATCTTCAATAAAATTAATAAGTATCTTACCTTGCCAATGAGGTGAGTCTCCCATACGGGCCTCGGAATCCTCTTTCACTCTTGTACTGTACTGGAGCTGTTATTTACATGACAAATTCCCAAACAGACGAGTGGAAGTCACGCCATCTGTCTTACAGGTGCACTAACATACTAATACACTCGCTCAACAGTATATCATTTTGCCGTGTGTAGTATTCTTCCTTTTGGAGTTCAACTACTGTTTGTTGTTCTAGACATCAGGTGGTAAGGTAAACGCCTGCGACCGTCACGATTTTCAGGAAATTCTATTCACTCTATTCTGGACATATTTCCTTGGCAAGGTTTGTACGTGTGCGTCAACAATTATCTCATACTTGTAAAAAAAACGTAAATTAAACTATTTCGGGTGAGTTTAAAGATTATAAACATTTTGTTACATCTATGAAAACTGACTCATAAGCAACACTTCACCGTCGAAGTATTTTCCTGAAAACCTTGACGGCCATGAGCACTCGGAAACTATTTGGCCTCGTTAATGTTTGACGTCATAAGGTTATTATTGCGCCACTTATAACATATTATTAGGTTAATGCCAGAGGATTTTATTTAACATAGAAAGATCCCTCGTTCCTATGTTAGTAACTACACTCGTCCATCGATGATATTATATACGAGATTAAGAATTCTATCTCGTTAGTGGTTATTCAAACGGGATTTAAAGCTCTAATTTCCGCTACTATTCCTGTATTTAAGGTTATACTACAGTAGTTTTAGCGTGATAATCAAAATGAAAAAAATAGTTTCAATGGGATACAAAACCAGGATTAAAGTCTCTTAAGATTCATGCGGGGTGAATAAAATAACTAATTCCCTCATGTGAACAGAGACACAGATCAGGTCCTTAATGGCGTCAAAATTTTAATGAGACTGTACTGTACCTTGACGTCTTGGATCACCTGAAGATTCGTCCCCCAGCTTATTTCACCTGAAGATTCGTCCCCCAGCTTATTTCACCTCAGCTTATTTTACTTGAAGATTAACCACCCTAATGCTAACCGAACCATACCTGACCTAACAATCTAACTTAACCTAACCTAACCAAACTTCTCTCAGGTAGCGTTAGGTGGGTTAAACGTCACGCGAAATAAGCTGGGGTGGCGAATCTTCAGGTGATCCGATTTTTGTATTTCACTTCCGGTTAAAAATATCCCAAATCTAATCAAACTTTGTCCCAAATTATAAATGATTTAGTCGAGGCAATAGTTAACGATAATAGATTGAGTTAACACTTATTAAAGCCACTGTGGCCTCTGTACTGCGTCCCCAGCTCTATAAATACATACCTTGGTGACTGACTGACGGACTGACTGAGAGAGCCATTTCTTTTAATCAATTCTTAAGTCTCTTTTGTTTTTATATTATCCCGCATTATCTAAACATGTTTTTCTTTTCTGATTCTTATAATGAGAAGAAAGAAAACTAATTAATACTTGTTTTTAGTGAAGACAATTTTTTTTTTTTTTTCTTAAGATTTTTTTTTATAATGAAAACAATAATTTCTTTGCTTAAGGAAGAAAATTGGGGGAAGACAAACTCAGTAGTTATTTTGTTCACAGAAGGACCATTAAACAACAACAAAAATCTTACATCATGTATTCATAAACATCAGAGCTTTTGTTGCTATCAGAGAACTTTTTTTTTTTACAATAACAGAAAATATAAACAAAACAAAACACGTAGGAAATAATTATGAATAAAGATATGGACAGGTAAAAATATATAGAATAAAAGTATTACCATTATATTACTGTAATAGATCATTTATTTTAAAACAAACTACAGACAAGAATAAACATTTGAAATCCCCTTTAAGAAATTCACTATTACAAGTATTTCAAGAGTGATATTGATTCAATGGTTAAATGAATATATTAATTACAATATTACCAGTTGTTACCTATTGCAATATGTCTACCCCGTTCAATACCTCAGGAAACATTGATGACCTTTTACCTTTGACCTATGGGGGCGTAGGGGGGGGGGATGACATATTTTTACTAAGTCTACTGAATGAACTCCAGTGGAAAATGAACCCAAAATCCAAACCTATATATCGATGTGTGCATTTTGACCCCTGTGACCCCCTGTATAATAGTCAAATATGCATCACTTCTAAAACGTTCATAATATCTGTAGTGAGGCATCTTTCTGTGAGGTTTTATGTTCCTTGATTTAATTACGACTGTATAATGACTCCCAGACCCCAATAAGGTGTTAGTGGGACCTTTCATCAATATAAATGAACGAAAATACATAATACTTACTTTTTTAAATGTTATTGTGGCGCTCAGGTGAATGCAGTTCTATAATGGCCTTTAATTAATGAGTAAATATATTTCTTTTAGACTTCACATAAGAAAATATGAGAAATAATTATCCACATAATTTTCATAATATTTTTCTATCTCCTACATATTACATGAATCTTTAATATTATTCTATGTTAATTTCTCTTCATGCAGCGGTATAGATGCGTAGATAATTAATATTTAGCATCTAGAACAGACAAACAAACAAACGATATATGAGTAATCTGCGGTGTCTCGAGTTAAAACAACAACAACTATTCTTTTAAATTCTCTTTAAAATGGCAAAAGTTTGTAAGCATTAAAATATTTATGCAGAAAACTCCAGACACATACAAAAAAAATCAGTTCTCAAGCAAGTATAACCCAAGTATTTTTTAAGGTGAAGAAATAAGAAATTAAAACAATACGGACCTAAATTAACTTGCATACAAAGTTTAGTTAGCAGCAAAATATATAACTATCTTGACATACAACAAAAATAAAATAACATAAAAATCTTTCCTTCTCATATATCTACCTGCCTCCCTCACATGACACTCGGAACTACACACACCTCACCTCACCTCGCAACCTTATACAGGGTGGTGTAAAAGTAGGTATAAATTAATCTGTTTACGTCAAAATCATTAGCTGAATGTTGTTTTCTGGGATACATTATGCGTTTTATTAATCTCCAGAAAACCAAAGAGAGAGTACAGCAGTGGGGGTGAGTAAAGCTATATTTGAACTTCTACGTCCATTTAGAATAGAATTACTATCATATACTTCATCTTGCACCAGCCTGTATAGAAATCAATGGTTGACTCGTTGTTTAAGCGACCAAATTGACTCTCCTGGTTGAGTTTGGTGTTGAAAAGCAGGAAAAAAACAGGTTGTCTATTCTTTATTGATGGTGGTGATGATATAGGTTAACGAGCTAGTTGTTGATGTTACCTGTTGAGTGCCCTAAGACAATGTTAGGTGACGGTACCCTGATGTAAGGTTAAAGGGGTCTTGGTGGTGTCCTTGGGGCGATGGTAGGTGAGGGGTGTATAGGTCTTGAGACTTCACAGGGCCTTCTGGGTATTCAAGGTTTTAAGGTCCTCAGGGCTCAGAAAGGCCCTACCTCCAGGGTCTTCAGGGTCTTCAAAGTGGGTGTGTTAGACCATGGGCTCGGTGGTAGTCTCGTCCCCATCTCGGTTGTCCTTAGTGGCCACGATACGAGATTTCTGGAAAGACACAAGGAGATAAATGATGGCGACAGTGTATGTGTTTTGATCTGTACAATATGTTGTCCCTCTCCATCTCGTTCTCTCACTTCACTTGAAACTTGCATCGGTATGAGTGAGAAGACAGGCACACACAAACAGCCAGACATGATGCAATGGCAAGCTCTCTCTCTCTCTCTCTCTCTCTCTCTCTCTCTCTCTCTCTCTCTCTCTCTCTCTCTCTCTGATCTCACCATAACTTAAAAAGCAATATATCAGAAAGTGAAAGTGAGTTCCTAGACTCGACGGACCATTAGGGATAGTGTAAAAGGTAGCGTGGCTGGCACTGCACTCGATCACTTTCACTCTCCCAACTGTAAACTTAGGTATCTATTCACAGCTTGGTGGGTTAGGGGTGTCCCGAGCGACCCTTGAAACAAAAAGCGGGAGTGTTTTCCTCTTGGCCAGCACACTCCTTAGACCAGAGACTAACATAACCTTAATGTAAAGACGTTGCCAAACTCGACATCAAAAGATAACATGACATCATCACACTTGAGACTGAGGATGGTCTAGTTACTAGTCTGAAATATCTCCTACTTGGAAATAACATGACAACAAGCAGGTGGCGATCGGGTGTCCTCTTGGTATAGCTTTCATAAACGATTTGTTATTTGATAGCATGGTGATGGCTGCTCTTATTGGCACTCATGGTAAGAGGAAACATAAATACTTCCCTGAAATGTGACAGTGTCAACCAGGAGGACATCTAGGAGGCAGCCTTGACTCTTGAATCAACGGGAATAATATTGTTCACTCAGCGGCTGCTGACATACTGCACTTGGTTAAGAAGAATTACCCGAGTGTTAGATATTTGCTTAAGGATGAATTACGTTCTGAAAGTAACTGTACAATATTTACTTGTGGGTGTTGTACTTACTTGATTGTACTGTACGAGGTGTAGCTCAGGGAACGAAGGGCTAGTGACACGCAGGGTGCTGGGGCCCATGGCCATGGCCGTCGCCAAGAACAGCACTGAGGCCAGGCAGAATGGGAAGGTGAACACCGGCAGCCCGTTCTGGTAGAGGAGAACATATGGTGAACATTGACAACTTTTTATAGACGAAAAGAACGAGGGTTGATCAAAAACAATTGAGAATTATTAACATAGATTGAAAGAATAAAACAATTCCACAGATACTATTTTGATAAGCTGAAACTGTGTGTTCTTATGATGTAAAACCCAGCCTCTTCCTACACATCTGACTTACTTCAACAGAGAGAGAGCAAAGGTACATGTACTTACTGCGGCGTAAACGGGAATAAGTGCAGCCTGAAGGTAGGTGGCGAAGACTGCGTTGATGGCGGCGACGAGAATGACCCTCGGGGTGGGGGCCATGAAGAAGGCGATGGAGCCGGCCGCCAGGAACCCGTTGTACCCCCAGATACCGTGATAGACCAGCGTGTAGGGTGCAGACGACACCACCAGACCTGTGTATCAGTTAACGTGTAGGCAGGAGAAACTTATCGCTTATGCGGTAGTTAATACAAGACTGAAGGGACGAACTAAGAGGCAAAAGGTACAGAAGAATATTTTCACTATATAATATTACTACAGTTCTATAAGGCTGATTTGGTAAGCAAATTATCGACTACGTATCATAGTTCTGCTAATATTTAAACCACTGCAGTTAGTACTGTGATGAGAACGGGCTCGGTGTGGGAGTAATCCGTCAGGAGCAAAGGACAACTCAGTGGTGTAGTCACGACTCTCAAGCTACCTATGTAGTCTTTTGATGTGATGGTCTGAGTGTGGCCCCAAGGTGTGGTACTCACCTGTCAAGGTGCCGAGGGTGGCTCCCAGGTAGCTGACGAGGGTGAGGGTAGGGGAGAAGATGAAGAGTCCCAAGAGTACAAGAACAGAACAGGCGACGCTTTCCACAGCCCACACGTGCCCGGCAGACAACAACGTTCCCAGGAACACCTGTAAGTAAGCAGACGTCTTCATTAGTGACTCAAGACTTCGTAGTCACGAAAACCACCGTTCAACCAAGGTCTATAGGATATATAGACTTTGCATTCAACAACTTTAGCTTCACCTGTCAAGAGATGAGCTTCTCGGAAGTGCGTCCAGGATTCAAACTCTCCCACTTTGCCTGACAAGAGGAACCGCTCCTGGTTTCAGCTAGTTCCACTAAAACAAGCTGACTCATCTTGTTCCCTTGAAAAAGGCTACTTCACTTGGTCTCATCGAAACAAGTTACCTCACCTGGTCCCACTGTAGGCCGGTATCGGGCTCCTCAGAAGGCGCTGGGGAGGCCTCTTCGCCGAAGCCCGCGGCCTTCATACACAAGAAGGTGGTGGAGATAGCGATGTTGAAGGGCAGTGTGTAGGCGGGGATGTTGTGGCCCTCCAGGATCCTACCCAGCCCTGCCATAACGCACACGCTGTGGGAGACACTCACTGGTGTAGAATTCTTGACAACTCAAGAGCAATTCAAACAATAGCCAAGAGAAAATAAATTTGGGAAATGAAAGACAGTGACACTGATAAGGCACTGCAGTAAGCTCAGATAACAGTGCCTGACAGTGACAATAGTGCCAGGTGTACATACGTGAACATGGCAGCAACGATAATGTATCCCCAGACGGCTGGTGAGAGTGGCGTGTGGAAGACGAGGGGGTAGAGGGCGGTGGAGACAGTGCCTATCAACACGGCGTTAAAGTTACTGTGACCAGCGGCTATGGCGTCGTCTTGCCAGCATAACAACTGGACAAAGGAGTAAAGGTTGTGTGTCGTGGTTACTGTTTTAAATGCTTCAACTGCCGTGTTATTTAGCCTCATGTAAAGATTTTTATTTCAATTACTTCGGTTACCATGGTAACTAATCACCATTCAGAAGGCTTTAGTTTATTACAACAAATAACTTTTGAAAATTTAGCTAACCTTAGCAACGAAGACTGAGGTGAGGGAACAGACGACGGCGCCTAACCCGCTCATGACGTTGCCGACGAACAGACCAATCAGGATGAGCAGCCCAGAGATGGGGTTGTTACCGAAGGCCACCTGGAGACAACAAATGTTATTGATAACGTAATGAAAAAATAAGATCAGTTCATTGATAAAATAGTAAAACCAAGAAACTTAATGACATAATGGAAAACTGACACTTGGAAAAATAGAGAACAGATGCAAAGAAAACAGCAGACAAACGTGCAGAAGGCCAGGCATAGAAACGAGCAGTCAGAGAGACAGGGACAGATAAAAAGTAAAAAATAAAAAAACAGAAACAGAAAGCACCAGACTAAGACACGAAGTAACAGAGACACACAAACGTACCTGTGCGATGCCCCTCAGCACACTGTCCAGGACCTTCACGACGACAGCTGGGGACTTCCAGCTGAACTTGGCCAGAGCGTCTCTCGCAGCTGGCGCATCACCCACCACCCACGCCAACGCCCCGGGCTGACCAGGGAGATACAAACACCTTGTTAGTCCATACACGCCCTCCTGATGTATGCGACACCTACGCCTAACACCACCCGAGCCAGCAACCCAGGCTTTCACGGAAATACACGTAGAAACTAAGAAATGATGAATTAATTCACTCCTGGGACCCAGAAACCCCCTTATCATCAGTCCTGGGCCCCAGAGACCCCCTTAGCACCACTCCTGGGCCCCAGAAATCCCCTCATCCGACCTCTATATGGGAGTTATGGGAGCCATAAATCAAAGACACAGAGTCAAATGTTTTGGTTGTTACTGTAGCTGTGGTTGAGTGATGGTAGCTCGTGACGTCATACCTATATAACAATAGAATCAACACGTGAGAAGAATTATACAAACCATAGAATAAATTATATCTGTAAAGGAATAATCATATACAATAAAACCTCTATTTAACGGACTATATGGAGAGGAAATTCTGTTATATCGACTGTCCGTTAGAATTGTAACCTCTATCTAACGAACTACATCGAGATGAAAGTGTAATATATCGTGGGTCCATTAGATGTGAAACCCTCCATTTAACGGATTATATGGAGAGAGAAGTCCATTATATGGAGGTTTCACTGTAACTACATAAAAACACAAAACAGATGAAAGGATTTTATGATAACGTTTACCATAGGACGTCAGACTGTACCATACACTCCTGGCGGCAGCGTTAAATACTACCGCTTAGAAGAACTCATAACCCCTTTTAGTCACGAGTAATCCATAAAATTTTTCAATCTCCTCCTAATGACGAACCACGACTCGCTAAAGTAACCAAGACTCATTTGACGTGTTTGTTTGCTTCACACATTATCTTGGTATATAATTCTGGTGTGGAGGATTCTGTATATAGTTTATGTGTGTGTGTGTGTGTGTGTGTGTGTGTGTGTGTACGTGATGGGTTTATTGAGCTTGAGTGGACTATTAGGTCAGCTAAGTGATCTTTAAATGTTAAAATCGTGCGTATGGACATATGGATCTCTGTGTGTATGTGTGTGTGTGTGTGTGTGTGTGTGTGTGTGTGTGTGTATGTGTGTGTGTGTGTGTGTGTATTGTTCCCACACTAAGAAGTTCTACGCAAAACAGAATAAATTAATCTTCATCACACGCCTTGACCCTAAGAGGACTCCCCCTCTTTAACCACTTCCCTCTTCGTTACTCTCTCTTTGTTTATATATATGTTGTTTTTCTTCCTGTCTCTCTTTCCTTTTCCTTCTTATGACCTTTTCTCTTAACATTTTTCTCTTCCTTGTCTCTCGGTTACCCATTCTTTCTTCCTTCTCTTAACACACTTAAAGAACCTCGAGTCATCTATCATCATCATCATTGTCTTCATTATCATTATCATCAACATCACGAGCATCAACATCTAGTCCAGTCTTACAACTGTTAATGGAGAAATTGTTACCCACAGACACACAGACACACACGCACAGTCATCCCTGCTGGTCGAGGAGAAAGACAAGATGCCTGAACAAAACATCGTCGCGTCGTGGTAGTGAGAAAAACACCAGCAACAGTAACAGCAGATCATCAGACCCAGACAGTAACTGGTTTGGGTGTACTGAACCGGGAACCATCTGTAGACACACGCACACAATTGTCCATCATCGTGTTTTTTTTTTTTTTTTCTTGCGAGTTTTTTATGTGGGAGATATTTTTCGTAGTGAAGATTCGAAAAACGATGACCGCTATTCGATTGAGTGTATTGTATTGGTGTATAAGTGATAGATATAATACATTAGCTGTTTCCTCATTAAAGCAGTGTTGTTCAGAACATATTTAAACTCCCGTAAATGAGTATCGTCTGCCACGGTAACCAACTCCTATACTGTAGCCAGAAACAGACGTGAATGTATGAACGTTTCTCGCTTTGTTTACAAAGTTGGGAACGAATAACTTAAATTCCTAACCGTGGGAAATATTAATTTGTGAAATTGTTCTTGTCTTTTGTAGCTCTTTTTTGTGTACATAATTAAGTGCGTAATTTTCTTAAGACCGGTTCTTGTTGGTCCACTACGAGGTCACAGCTGCTGACCCTCGTTGAATTAATTGATGTCTACTGGGACGTTTAGAAACTGACCAGAAAAAAAAGGGATGCGGGTTTTTTTTATTTATTTTTTTTACCGGCGTCTCTGGTGAGTATGCATTAAAGACATAGTGTGGAGAGAAGGGGGGGTTTGTGGGGGGTGGGGGGGAGGGGACTTATAGTGACTATAAGAACCATAATGCCGACTTTTGGTAATTCTATTGTTGCTAGGGGCCTGCTTGTGCTTCTTGTTTACACAGAGGCACACCAGGTACAGTGGGATAAAATTGGTCTGTCACTATTTACTGTTTCCTTGACCAAGATGTCAACGCCAGTACTAAACATTATATCACCTGTTGTCTACTGTTCCATTCCTCTCCGAGAACACAAGGAATAAAAAAACTCAAATCACTTATTAGTTCTTGAATTATTATAAAATTCAATAGAGCGAAAGGTCAATGTTGTTGTGTGTTGAATTGTTTTACTGTGTATGACATGTTAGTGTTGATGGGTTGTGTTGTCCATTAAGCTAATTCTCTCATGATGCCTTGAGATAAAACCTAACCTAACCTAACCTAACCTAAACTAACCTATACTAACCTAACCTAACGTTGAGGATTACAATTGCAATCTAAATCCCCCATATTTTGCCTGGACGAAACGTGACCAGTTGATTGTCAGAATAAAACGACCATAATCCTCTCTTTTTTAACGCGTCATTCGTGTTATTTGCTGAAGATTTTTACAATATACTGAAACTTTCTCTTTGTGTTGACTCTTGTTCTTTCTAGTAACTAATTTTTACATTTTATTTACACAATATTGGGCCATATAGTATTTCCTATTTAACGCAATTATTATTTTTTTTCGTCTCACTTTTCTTTTTTTACACATATACACAATTTTGGTTAATATGTTATGTGACGGAGGGATCTGTTATGTAACGGTGGGATCTGTTATGTAACGGTGGGATCTGTTATGTAACGGTGGGCTCTGTTATGTAACGGTGGGATCTGTTATGTGACGGTGGGCTCTGTTATGTAACGGTGGGATCTGTTATGTAACGGTGGGATCTGTTATGTGACGGAGGGATCTGTTATGTAACGGTGGGATCTGTTATGTAACGGTGGGCTCTGTTACGTGACCGTGGGCTCTGTTTTGTGAAGGCAGGCTCCGTCATGTGACTATAGGCTTTGTTATGTGACGGTGGACTAGACTCGATACTAATGACAAATCTGGAATTCTATGGCAAACTATGACTAACTTTTTACCCTCCTTACTTATTGATTACGTGAACTAACTTGAGGAAGATTCTTGAACTACTTAAGGATTTGAGCTTAGATTATCATCCTTGAAGGGTTAAAGCTTAGATTATTGTCCTCAACGGGTTGAAGCTTAGACCAATTCTATCAAAGGGGTTAAAGGGGTTAAATATTAAACTATTGTCTTCAAGGTGCTAAAGCTTAGACTATTGTCCTCAAGGGTTAAAGCTCTTAGACCAGTGTCCTCAAACGGTTAAAGCTTAAACCAGTATCATCAATGCGTTAGGATTCTCGTAATGTTCAGCTTATAAAATATCCACCCTGAGATGCATGTGTGTGTGTGTGTGTGTGTGTGTGTGTGTGTGTGTGTGTGTGTGTGTGTGTGTGTGTGTGTGTATGCGTGCGTGTGTCTACAGGTACATCAATACGTTGTTACATGTTCAGGGTCAACAATACTTAATACTGGGTAATTATACAAGTTAGTTCCCACTCCAAGGTGACCTCAGCCGATGAACCTACACAAATCGAGGTTCAGTGGCACTACAAGGTCAACCTCCGGATAATGAATCGTCAAGTGTAAGATTATTGAAAATTGCAATTAACATCAAAGCCAAGTGCTGTAAGATAGTAGGAATGGTGTTGTTGGCTGGTGGTGGTGGTGGTGGTGTTGCAAGGTGGTGGTGATGTTGTAGGGTGGTGGTGTTGCAGGATGATGGTGGTGTTGCAGGATGGTGATTATGTTGTAGGGTGGTGGTGTGTGCAGGATGGTGGTGGTGTTGCAGGATGGTGATTATGTTGTAGGGTGGTGGTGTTGCAGGATGGTGGTGATGTTGTAGGGTGGTGGTGGTGGTGATGTTGAAGGATGGTGATGATGTTGTAGGGTGGTGGTGGTGTTGTAGGGTGATGGTGGTGGTATTATAGGTGGTGGTGGTATTATAGGTGGTGATGTTGTTGTAGGGTGGTGGTGATATTGTTGTAGGGTGGTGGTGGTGGTGTAGGGTGGTGGTGTTGTAGGGTGGTGGTGTTGCAGGGTGGTAGTGATGATGTTGTAGAGTGGTGGTGATGATGTTGTAGAGTGGTGGTGGTGTGTTGCAGGGTGGTGATGATGTTGTAGAGTGGTGGTGGTGTTGGTGATGATATAGAATGGTAGTAATGATGGCGATGGTGGTAACGACGATGATATTGCAAGGTAGCGGTGGTGGTGATGTTGCAAAATGGTGGTGATGGCGTTGCAGGGTGATGCTGGTCGTCGTGTATGAGAGAGGAAGCAGCTGATGTGTGTGTGTGTGAATGCCTACACATTATCTACTCAGGGATAGCCTTTACTGCCCTCTTATGGAACCTAAGAGTTAAGAGTCAGCCGAGTCATCCCCTGAAGAAAAAATAAAATCATTGGTGTGTTTGTGGTTTATACGATCCTGAAAGAGAGATAGATAGAAAGATAAATAGATAGAGAGAAAGAAAGAGAGAAAGGGAGAAAGAGAGTCTGTCTGTGTGTCTGTCTGTCTGTGTGTCTGTCTGTCTGTCTGTCTGTCTGTCTGTCTGCCTGTCTGTCGGTCTGTCGGTCTGTCTGTCTGTTGCTTCTATTCATTTATACACTATCATGTCGGGGTGCATTAATTAAATATTTTATTTATGTTTATCATCGTTGTTTTTAATTGCTCTTTTTTGTCTCC